CCCACCTTTTGCTTTGTGGGAGATTAGCCCATGTCCTCTTTTCGGGCCACAGCAGTGATAGCACAAATTTAATTCCCACCTTTGGAGCCAGTTCTCTGAGGACTTGTAGCAATCGTTTTGCCACAACCACTCTGAAGATTGTTAAAGGGCACACCTGTCAAAGGCAAGACACAGGCTAAACTATCCTCAAGAGGCGGATTCTGTGTATAAAGACTGATGAGAGGTCAGCCTGCGGGGGCCTGTCTACAAGAGCCGGGACACCCTGGCCTCTACAGAGGAAAACCGGCCAGCGGAGTGAGTGAGAACAATGCTCACCTGAATGGTAAGGGATTTTAGTGCAACAAATTATTCACTTTGAAATGACTTCAACTTTAAACCATCTATTGGGCACAGTAAATCGTGATAAACCAAATAAAAGCATAGGAGTGTAAAAAAGACCGGACAGTTTAATTTTTTTCACTTTGAGGAGAAACATACTTAACATAGTAATTAATAGGAAGAAATTTTGTTCATTTTTTAAAAAAACATTGAAATGTTAAAGAAAAGATGATATGAAAATTTATAGCATAACTTTCTTAAATTCATACACAAATCATAATGAATCTTATCCAAGATAGTATTATATGGGTGAGATATGTCAAAGTAAGACATCATAATTAATTTAAGAGATTGGATTTTTTGGGGCTATGTAACAATAAACAGTACAGAGAAGGAATATTAATAAAGCAGGTACAATGCATACTTTACACATTTTCCTCATTTAATGTTCATAGCATCACTATGAATAGTGCTCGATTCGAAGGCAATCAAAAACAATTTTCTAGAATTTATTGAGCTTTTATGCCTTAATATAATTTTAGACCTTTGATATATGATGAAATATAACTCTTTTCATGTTTTCCTTGAAATTCTGAAGTTTTACATTTTCAAAATCATCGTTAGAATTGTGTCTGTTCCTTAGTTCTATATAATTTTCCCAAGAGATACTATGCAATTCACTCATTAAAAAAAAAAAAAGCTTGTTAATGATTCTTTATATATTCCTGGAAAAAGGAGACAACAATTTTCTATGCTTTCATTAAATGATGCTTTATAAATTCTATTGGTGCTGCTTGAGGAAAACGTTGTTAATAAAAGTGAGGAAGGACAATGTCCTATAGTAATTTTGACAAAATTTCTACCTGCAAATAAGTCAGTACTTGTATTCAAAATCCAAACCAAACTTAGTACTATAAAATTGGTTCTGGTACATGGAGAATCTTCATCAAGTTTCCAAAGCTACAGTTCAATAAAGGTGAAGGACGGCACATCCTTCCCTCATGGAACCCCTGGTGGATTCAAACTGCTGAGCTTTTCACTAGCAAAACAAGTGAGTGAAGTCGTTCCGTACTACGTCACTAGGATGCCTATATAAAAACTTATTTTATCTTTTATTTTAAAGATATAGAAAGACATCCCTATGCAGTAAAATATTCTACGTAATAAAAAAAACCCCAAAACTCCATTTAATTTTATGACAACCTCTTTTATTTTCAACTGAAGCACTAGAATGGCAATTATAATTGCAATATTTTTACTGCAAAAAATTGGGTTACTTGGAGGGCAGGAACCAAAGATAGAAATTGAAAATGATTATTACTTTCACGTAATAATTCTCATTCAATTGTTTTAAATTTTGTGTATCTTGCTCTGTCTTCTCTTCTTAATTTAGCACTCTACTGTTTAAATAGAGTTACTTATTGTATGGAACCATGCAGAAGGATCTTGGGAGAATACTGTTTGTTTCTATCATGCTAAAAAAATCGCTTTATGAATCTGGGAAGTTAAATTATGTTAGCCCTTTCAAATATAAAACTTGAAACTCAAGACTGTACAGGAAAATATAGATGAGTGTGATTTTGTATGTGAAATTATGTGCCCATGGAACTTACTTAAATAATGTTGTGATCATTGTTGACTGTCTTGAAAGGTGACTTTTTTTTAAATACAGAAAACTCTGCTAACAACTAGGCTAAAGTTAATTTATCGAGCAAAATTAAAAAGTAATGTTTCATTATAGCAAGTACCTTCACGTTTAGAAATCAAACTGATAAATTCTAAAACTTGTAAGGCTACAGTTTATAAAGGGACTAAATAGCATAACCCACTTTTAGTTAGCATTATAAAGCAATATGTGTATGAATGATTGCATAAACATTCGGTATTATGCATAAACTTTCCCTCAAATAAAATTTTAAAAAACTAAATAAAAGAGCTGAATAAATGTCCTTTCATTTCCATTTTGCTTCTATACATTTTGATCTTTCAACTTAATTGCGTGACACTTGACTGGTGAAAAGAAAAAGGTATCTAGAGGAAAATGCTAACTGGACAAATGAACTTATTCTATCGAGAGCAGACAACAAGCACCAGAGTGTTAACATTTCAAACATCACACAGACAATTGGAATAATTACAGAGCTAGAGAAACAAAAAGTAGAAAATTCTTCTCAAAGGTGTTGGGTTTTCAGTAGTACCTTTTCCAAATCTGTCTATTGTGAATGTGATAGTGAGCTCATTTCCCCTGGTTTATTTCAGACTATTCTTAGATCAAAGTCCACCTCTCTAATTTGGTTTTAGGTTTTTCAAATGCTTGCTATTTGCTATCATCTTTACACATGTAGCCCTGTTGTTGTTAGGTGCCATAGAGTCGTAGGTGATTCATAGTGACTGTATGAACAAATACTTCCATCTAACTTTCATCCTTTCTCCAGGTTCATAGGGTTTCCAGAGGCAAGCTATTATGGAAGTGAATGCCACTCCTGCCCTATACCGGAAAACCAAATCAAATCCATATCATATGATCAGTGAGTCAGCCTCATTATTTCTATATTATAATGCCAATGACACAAATTCTATCTAGCAATGGACACTCCTTTTGTATGTACATAGAACTTTAAATCTGTGGACAAGAGGATCTCATTTTTTAAAAAGAGATGATCTCTACTTAAATTTAAATGCATGAATGCAGCTGTTATATGACCTTAAATGATCTCTCCAAAGTACTGAAGAGCAATGGTGTCTCTCTGGAGACTAAGGT